TACGATTTAATAATATTCAATCAGAATACACAAGTTAATATATTAATTATAACATAATATACTTACACAAATATATTGGCTAAATTCGACCACGCATAGCATATAACTACATGTACGTCTTTAAGAAATGAAGTCAAGTTACATTGTTGCTGTTTTTGTTCTTGGTGGTGGTCTTTATTTATTTTGTTCATTCTATCTTTTGATCATAATTTAAACAACTAATTCGATTCTATTACACCTCATATACAATTCTCATATTCCCAGCTTCTCCCAAGTTTTTTTACACCTGAACAATGAGCCTAGTATATAATCGTGATTTTGTAAGAAGTTCTATATAATTTACAAAATATGATACAATATGACAATATGATACAAACATGATAACTGATGTTTTGATTCTTGAAATATATTTGCTTAAAAAATCGTTATGCCATTTTTTTTTCTTGAAAAAACACCCCACAGATTTTATGTGTTTGTTAGAAGTTAACGAATTCAGTTCAGAATTTGTCAATATATGATTAAACTGTTCATTAAGTAATTCAATAAATTAGAGTGACGTGTTCTTTTTACATTTTAAATAGAAGTGATAAAGCATATGTTTTAGAAACGGAAAATTTTACGTTATGCACTGACTGAATAAGGAACAGTACATACATTGATTAAAAAGCGTGAATACTTACGGTTGATAATGGTGTATATGGGCTGCTTTGGTAAAATATGTTGGTGCCTTTATTAAGAATCAAACATGATTGTTTAATATACCTTGGGTTTGTATTGTTGTTGTTGTTGCTGCTGCTATTTGTTTGATTGTTATATTTTGTTCTTTTTAGAGTGGCTGTTGTGGTAGTTTATTTTAATTTATTTGATTTTATTTTTTCTATACTAATTTTGATCCTACACAAAGATTTTAAAGTTTATACAAACCTGATTTATAAACCTGGAATATAAATGGATTCTTATCAGTGTCTGGTGTTCGTTTTATTTGGTTTTTATTTTGTTTTGTACTGTAATTCTTGCCATTGTGTTGTTTGTTGTTTTTTTGTGTTGTTTTTTGTTTTGTTTTGTTTTTTGAGTTTTTGTTGGTTTTTTGGGGGGTTTTTTTTGGTATAGAGTTTTACTTTTATTCATTCGTTTATCTTTTGTACTATATATAGATCTCTGTGCTTCTTTTAAATATGTAACAATTTGTTCATACATTTCCTTTGAATCTTATACTAATATATTAACAATCTGTGATACAAGAGATTTGTGTAGGTGTACCTATGTTATTAACAATTTGGGATACAAGATTTTGTGTATAGGTCTACATATGTTATAAACGATTTGTGATAGAAGATATATTTGTAGGTATACCTGTGTTATGTACAGTATGTGATAAACAAGGATAATCAAAATGTTAATTCTATTTTTCTTTATATTGTGTTGGCAATGTTTGAAACACATAGTTTACATCTGTTTGTCTGTGTTATAAACTGTTTGAGATAAAGATTTTTAAAAGTTAAGTGTTCAAATGTTGTATTAATTGTGTTAGTATACGATGCTTTTCATTTCACGTTTTTAAAGTGTGAATCAAAATTTCTTTTCCCTTGAAATATGTCTGTAAATGTAGAACTAGTACATTGTATCAATAATATAACAATTGCATAGCTTGAATTAGTTTCTATATTTCTGAAAGACAAATATTGCATACTGATCAAAACGTTTTAAAAATATAAATAGTGATGAAAGAACAAAAATACAATCAAAAGACTTGTGCATATTTTCTGACGTAAACCATATTTAGAAAACTGAGTCGCTTCAATCTGAATAAAAAATGTAAATCAATTTGTATGTAAAACCTTGTTTGTCTCCAATTTGGTACATAGAAAGTCTACATATATACATTTTCCGGCTATATAACTAAGAATTATAACTATTTTAGACAAAAAGCCATCGCCTTCCAATTAAAATAGGATTATGGCAGAACTTACCTGCTGAAGATTTGTAAATGCACTATTTGTAGCGATATCAGCGGTGAATGAAACATTTGTAATAGCAAAATCCCTAACAATGGTACAAACTCAGAATAAGTAAGGTTCCAGCACTGTTACAAAAGTAACGAGGATTCGAAATGGAGTAAATGAAGTGAAAATTTAATGCATAATTGTTACACATGTTACACTTGGAACAGCATAAAACCTTATAAGGGCTATCACTGAAAGTAATAAATGCAAACATATTTTCATTCCTAAAACAAGAGTCACCGAAAGCAAGGACCACAATTGACCTTTTCTTATTTCCAAATGCAAAATATTGATAGAAGCTTTTTGGTAGAAGTCTTAGAAAGATCACAATCATATTTGCATTGGTCATTTTGAAAGTTAGGCATTGAATAATGTTTTGTCCGAGTATAAACTAGTAACACATTTGTAGCAAATTTGATATAGTAACAAAATTAAGGTAAAACCTTAAAGTTTATTTAAAGTTTTAAATAATATTTTTCTCAAAGAATATAATGATGTTGCCTAACATGTCATTACATCCACATATTAATCAAAACTGCACATCAATTACTAAGTTGTACAGAATTCTAATGATTTTTCATTTATTTTCTTGAGGTTCAAGGGCATTTTAAATCAAGTAAGTACTTCAGTTACACAATATGGAGGTTTTTTCAAAAGATTTTTTTGGGGGGTTCGTTCAAAAATAAATTATGCAAGAATAAGTTTACAAAAAAGCTTATTATTAGTCAAGATAAAGTTCAGTCTTACCTTCTTGAACGAGTTTATAAAATAATTGTCTAAGAATAAATAAATGTAAATACAAATAATAATAAATTCTTGGCATATTAGCAAAATTCCATATATATCTAAACAATTAGATAGAGTATGGCCAAAGTAAAATTTTAAAAAGTTCATGTCATTTATCAGCCTCGGTCAAATTAAGTGTTTACTATTTGAAAGGTTTAAGTTTTATTATAAATATAATGCACCCATCAATAAAAAAAGTTATACCAATTTATAATCAAATGATGTTTTTTGCAAAAGATGCAAGAATGAAGATTGGAAAATAACAATGCTCGATTTTAAAGCACAACCCTTAATCCTTTCTTAAATCAATTTGACGGTGTGGAACATCTTCCGCTACATATATGGGAAAGTGGAAAAAAGTGTTGATTCAATGTTCTAGGAATGAAAGTAGGTAAATTGGTAAAGAACTATTATAAAGTCGCTGAAGGTGGCTAACAAATGGATGTATAAAATGTTGGATTTGTCTGTATTCGACACAGAGATAAACAAAATCCACCCAACGCATATCATAGTCATGTAACAAGGCAGCTTGATTACGCCAATTATATGTAAAGTTAAGATGCAATACTCATATACCTATGTATACTATAACGTGACTTGGCATACCTGTATTATTGTCCTTAACTGTGTATGTTTAAATGAATTTATTTTTACCCTCATTGGTAAGTGAGTAAGATTAATCTGTCACATAAATAACAAGTTTTTGTTAACATTCTAGTGATTCTACTTTAAGGTCGTTTGTGAGTTAAACAGAATCACAGTTTGAGAATCGTTCCTAGCTTTGCAATTGAACATTTCAATAACAATATACATTAAAATATTGATATTTAAAGAAAGAAACATAGTTATTCTGTCCTTATTTTTGAGTTTTCTTTCCTTATTTTTGAGTTTTCTTCTGACCTGATTTACTTAGCTATTTTTGATTAGCGGAATATCCAAGTAGCTACACAACGACATAAAAAGGATTGTTTCCCTTATGAAATCACTTAAAGTTCCATCTATCATCGCAGTCTGATGAATTATATTTGTTAAATTTATTGTATCAAATATGGGCACATATACTGCCTTTTGATAGAAAATAATTTGTATAAGACTATATAGTACAATGTAGTTAATAGCAAGCGATGTAAAAATGGGGCTAACTGAAATTACACGCAAACTTGATAAAAGGTCGTCTTAGATTCTTCAAATAAGTGTAATCAATTTTTGGATTGCTTTGAAATAAAATTCACTTGAGTGAAAAACAAGTTCCATATCACGACATTCCAATATTCAAATTGACTTGCTTTGACATTCGATGGTTTATGCAACTTTTGAAAATTACAAAACGTGCCTACCAAGTATCTTAACTATATGTAGTTACTTTCAAAAGAGAGGATTATAAACGTTGTTAACCCTCAACCCCGCCACCTTCTTTACAGTATGCTCAAAACCTTAACTTTGGATTCACGATTATGTAGAAATACTTAAAGTTTTCCCATTTCAGGCTTTGTAAAAATATCATTTCGTTTTAATTAAAGAGGTTATTTCGGCATGTTAACTTCTTGCATAAAAGTATAAACTTTAAACTGCAACACGAATGTCGAGATAAAAGTGACTATGATTTTAATTTTATTTTAAATGACTACGCATAACTAATATGATGTCGACCTAGTTGGAAATTTTAGACTTTTTAATTATTCTAATATCTTTTTCTTGTAAGAAAATAGTACAGCAACAATAGAGTACATGGGGTACACGTATTAGAGGTTCAAAGTGAAAAATATCACATAGATATATGAACATGTAGTAACTGTTACGCCTTTACAAGAAAACAGCAAAATTTATACGCATTTATCAATCTATATAAAACAAAAATATTTGTAATCGATTCTGGAAAAAATAAAAGCTTAAACAGATAAAAAGAAATTCTCTATAATGTTAATTCACTACATAAAAGTAATTGAATTCAATTTAGTTTTTGAAAACCTGACTATGGGTTTATTTGTAGATTACAATGTAGCTTCCAGATCAAAGCTTTCAAATCGTCTATATATCGAACGTATTACAAAAATGTGTTCAAGTATACAAAACACCAAAATATCAATGTTCGTACCTTTATTTACTTCCTTAACGTTTATATTCTCCTTAGTGTATCGTTTCAGATCTATGAATTTTAATCAGTCATTATCTGTCATTTGAACTGTTTCTTTCTTCAACACCTCTTTTTTTCGATACTAAATTTATTATGGCTATATCGGATTACTAATATAGATATATGTATATATAGTAATATACTTAGTTAAAGGAAAAAAATACCTGGAATAAGTAAAGTGCCTAAAATATCTCTGATTTCAAAATTGTTTAGTTATAGCCGTGGAGTTGACAATACAGGCATAATAAAACCAGAAAAGGAAGATATGCATTTTCATTCATATATATACTTGCAATGTGCTTTTCGATTAAAGGTAACGAAGAACTATAGTTTAATCAATGAATATATGTTTATATTTAATTTTCTATATTAGCAGTATCACCTTTCTCTTTTTATAGAATATTTTCATTGTTTTAATTTTAATCATAACCAAGGTAAATTGGTATGATTGACCGATTGGGAAAAGGTGTTTGATTGATTAAGACATTTTGACTTATTGATTGATTGATTGTTTGTTTGTTTGATTGATTGATTTGATTGATTGAATTGATTGATTGATTAATTGATTGATTGATAACCTCTAATGAAATTCAACGTTTTTCCGTTCAAATTTCATATATGCGCAGGAATTATCGAAACCTAAAATTAATGTACTACATACTTTCGTTATATTTTAAATTAAGTTATAATCAAAACACAAAGTAGGCAGACGTTAAAATAAATAAAAACAAATGTCTTAATATTAGTTTGATGTTGGTAAAACTTTTTGATACGATGTCGTGAATTTATGCGGTCTAATTGGCAACACAATATTGAAACAATGCCAGTTGAAATAATTCAGGGGGTTATGGTTATTGTTGTTGTTTTTGTTTGGTTTTTTTTAACAAACAAATCAAACAACATAATAGTGATTGCTAGTTTCTGTTCTATGTTCTGTTTGGGAACTTTGTTATTCAAAGTAGTTGAAGATCAAACTATCTAGTTTTCAGTGGATTGAACCTTTTCAATAGACTTTAAATCTATATAAGGAAAATGATTGACAACCGCAATTGTGTTTACAATACAATGTTTATTTCTTACGTTTCATGAAGTTTAAGACGTGCAGAATGTTTTTATCTATTCCACTCAGAGTATTGATAATATATTTATAATGTAAATATTTTTAGTCGCTACTTTAACGCATGTTTTTTATTGATTAAAGTAAGACTGATCATTAATTTATTGTATTTTTTTAATTATCAAACTACATCATTAAAATCCAGAACGTAAACTTTTTTACCATTCTTTAATCATAATTGTATAACGTGTTAAGCATAATTTTGAATTTACTTTGTACGATAACATATACTAAATCTATCTTAAAGTATGTTTGTTCTAGTTTCTGTATTAAACTATTAAAAGGTTAATACACGGCAGAGTATGGTCGGAATCTTGATGATAATCGGCTTCAGTACGGCATTATACATTTCAAGACGGATTATCACTTTCCGATCCGCCTCTGACGTGTTTTTATGTTAATATCTAATAGTAGCACTTGATTAATTAATTTGATATTTCATTCTTTAACTGTACAGTATCTAATACACAGTTGCTTCCCTTATATGCAAAACAATGAAGCAGCAAGTTTCATTTTCTCGGAATAAAATGTTTTGTTTTTATTCCTTTAAATTTACAATAAAACTGTGTTTGTAAAATTACACTGAAGTTGTAATCATAAAAAAGCGATCAGTGCAAACATCCTAACTTTCACTTCACAGTGACGTAAAATGTGACGTTATTGTTATAGTGTTTGCATGTGTTCAGCGGGCCGATTATGATAATAGGTTTTGTGTGCTTCATCTACTATAATATCTATCTCTTATTAGAAACAGAGTTCTTCAACGGGGAAGAAAATTACAAGTCTCTTGTTGAATGTACTAAAAACTGTTGGCAGTTACCTTGAAAAATGCGTGATTTGTAAGATATACGTGGCATTAATTACGGGTGTAATATTGTGATAATATTTAAATGCAAAAAGAAACTGATATAGATTGATGGGATCACCTGGATTACGTTTATTGCTTTTGTATTAAAACAGAACAGACATTTTTATTTCAGACTCAAGCATTATTGTACTTGAACTAAAAACGTTCTGTCGATCTTTGTAAAGAAGTCAATCTATATTAAACATGATAAAGCGGAAAATAATAAAAACCATACAGTTGTAATTAAAATTGTTTGCAAAGGAAACCCACCTTTTATTAATGCAAATGTGTTTTGATATACAGTAGAATCCCTACTAAAGACCACCTCGGAATTAAGACCACCCCGCTTTTAAGACCAGTGTTTAAAAGAACAGAATTTTCTGTTCTTTACGTCAATGATTACATGATCCAGAATTAAGACCGCCTCACTTATCCACTTTTAAGACCACCAAATTCAGTCCCATTCATTATTTTGTTCTTTATTTGACCCCACTATTGAGACCACTGATTAAAATCAACACCTTCCTAGATCTTAAATGTGTTGTTATTATCTACTTGATTGCTCTTAGGCATAACACTTGACACAAGGTGTCAAAAACTGTTATTTATGGGATATTTCATGAAAAAGGTGAGAAAGTGATTTAATGTTGCTTTATGCACATTTATTTTGTGAAGAAATAATGTCTTACATGATATGTGAAATATGTACAGCAGACACAATTTATATTGAAATAAGATCAAAGAAAATCTAATATTAAAAAATGTCTTCAGAAATATGTTTTTCCCCATCAGATGTAACATTATAACATGCTTTCATATTGTATTTGCAAGTTAAGATACATTCTTTTTTTTTTCATACAAAATGACTAAAATAGGCCCTGGTCATAATGCGTGTAAGCAATGATAACAATATCCACAATTAAGAACACCCCACAATTATGACCACTTTGGTCCAGTCCCGATGGTGGTCTTAATTGAGGGTTTTTACTGTATATCTGTAAAATATACAAATGATAAATATAAATAATTCATACTGTTATACTTCCTTCATTATTATTTTCTTGATATTTATTATATGTTAATATCTTTTAGATTTATAACCAGGTGTGCATCTTGACGAAATTTCCAAGAAAACACCAAATGTTAACATTGACCAATTTTCGAATGCTGTAAATTATCTTTAATATCGAATAGTATAATAATAGTAATAAATGTCATTATCTTATCTACAGGATTATTTTACTCGATCAAAATATTTTATATATTAATCTCTGCTACATTTACGACCAGGTTTATTATATGACCAATTTTCGAACGATGTAACTGATCTTCTCCGAGAACTGGACAAGAAATATTCTATGACAGAGAGTACAGAGAATGCAAGGAAAAAGATGCAAGAACCGAGATTTAAAACATGGGATGATGATCTTAAATCAGCGGGAATGCTAATTAATTTGTACACAAACTCTGACGAGTATAAGCACTTGCCGAATGCGACTTTCTACAGAAGCTTGAATGAAGCAATAAGGAGTGAAAACCCTGATTTTATTTGGCAAAACAGTGAAAAATTGCTGAATGAAGCTCTACATAGAATCGGACTTGAAACATTTAATTATACATTCAGGGGGCAAAAACATTATAACCCAGATGACCACCAAGAAAGAGAACCGTTCAACGTACGAGGCTTCTGGAGCACTACCCTTCATCCTTCTCACACTGACCATTTTGGCGGTACGGAATATGCTTTCTACATTATTAAGAATGTTGAAGGTGTAAATGTTCAACATGTTTCTGTTACTGATATGGAAAAGGAAGTTTTACTTCAAAGCTCAAAGAAATATATTCTAGAAAGGAAAATAAGCAACAAGGAAGAACAACGAAAAAAGCTTGAAAGCATTCAATTGCAGTATCCAGACTTTGACCCTTCAAAATTTGACCCTGAGAACATATTCATACTTAATGAGAATCGTAAACATGATGAAGTCTCACTTAATGAGAATCGTAAACATGATGAAGTCCCACTTAAAGAGAATCGTGAACATGTTGAACTATGAGTGTCTTTTATCAGCCTTGAACATCCTTTCAACTAAGACTATGTTGATTTTTTTTCTTGTTTTGTATTTTTCTTACAACGGCTATATTGACATAACCAACGAATGTCTTTGGTTAATGATACATTACAGTGAAACTGTTTTTCTGTACGAAATCTGCTGTGGTCATAATATTATTTTTAAAATAGGTCTATCTCTTCAATTTGGTTTGCAAATCATGGTCATGCAACTACATAATTAGGAAAAGAAGCAGACGCTTGTTTTGGTTGAGTCTTTTATGTTTTTATAGGGGTGAGTTGTTATTCAAAAACTTACACTTTATATGCATGTATAATTTGTAATGCTATTTTATTATATTGAATGTTTTTGGATTGTTTTATCAAATTATTTGTACTGTAATTAAAAGTGTTAGACTCGTATGTCCGATTAAAGGCATAATCTTAATGAAAATGAAATTAGTTGACGTTTTCATTCGTATTGATCACATTATGGTTTAAGCCATTTTATGTCATATTAAGTTTTGATATTGATAGATTTTAGAATGTCGACAGTTGTCATTAAATGTCTCGTATATATTCTTTAAATGTTTTACCATCGGGCTTTTGTTGCAATACCCAAAGCAAAACTTTGCTATTTCACTTAAACAGTTCAGCGTAATATATAAGTACTTCCTAGTAAATTGCATTTTAAATTCGAATTCACTTTGAAACTGTCTATAATAACAGAAAAAGGACCATTAAGTGAAACAACGTTCACGGATGAGTAGATACCACAATGTACAGTCATACAGGACACTCTTATGATATATCATCGTATAAGATCTTTCAAAATAATAAACAAGATCAACAAGGAAAGGCGGCGTTCAATGAACCCAACCCCGATATGACCCAGCAACAAAAACCAATGGTAAGGAGCCCAGGCGGACCCCAAACAAAAACAGGACAGGGCAAAGACAGAGCATGGACAGGTTAAACATTATATGATAAATAATTTATAACTGATTAGGAATTCAAAGAAAATAATAAAAGGCCCACAATGGGGAAGGAACAGGAGACCGGGGGAAGGGGGGGGGTTAATCAAAGAAATAAAAACTAGAGGCAATGGGGCAGATACTTACCGTAGACGAGAAAACAACAAGGGACACAAGCAAAAGTGTCCTCAAAACAGTATGAAACAACATAGACATACATCTGAGGAACAGAGTGGGGCGCCGCCTTGGAACCAACAGCAGCATAATAATGACTGCTGGGGAGTTTAAACCGGTTAATGGTGCACCAAACCTCGCTCTTAGCCCCACCATGTTCCTATAAACGAGACAGTGCAACTAAAATGAAACCCCGCCAAGTGAAATTCTAACAGTCGTCATGGTAACAAAAGGTTAAATAAGTAAAACACTAAAATGATCATGTAGAAACATATAAAAGTACACCAAATGACCATAACAAAAGTACTCAATGTCCTAAAGGAAGACAGAGCAACAAGAAAATCACCTACAAGGGCCCGACGAAGCAAGGCAGAAGACGAACATTAAGACAATTCAGTCCCAAAGGGCTTAACGAAGTTTACGAAGTTGTGTTTAAGGTATTAGCATCCTAATGCATTATCTCCGCTTTGAAGAGTATTCAAATAGGCTAGAACTACTGTAAACTTCATTGAAAATGAGGGCCATTGGTTCATTCCCCAGAAGGATCAACTTTTTCTTTCTTTCTTTTTTTCTTTTAACATTATTTATGTATCTCTCATGTCCCATTTGGAAAGAAAAAGTGTTTAATTTTTATTTTTTAATTTATATAGGTATTTATTGGCTAAATTATGCTAAATCTAGTAATAAATATGGTACCTGATATTTTCAAAGTGTAATTTAATCAAAACTAGACGGTAAAAGTATTTCATATTTTACAAGATCAACCAATATACTTTTTTAAAAATTTAGGGAAACTTTGAAAACAGGCACTCATTTGGGTAATTTTTAAGATTTTTTTAAATAAGGCTCCCTAAGTAGAAAAATGGTCAGACACGTGGTAAAAATGGGTGGGGTAGGGTAACATTTTTATACAGATTTTAAGTTGAAACCATAATTTTGCTTATGTGGATTGTTAGCTGAATGGTACTATTTGTTTCTTACCAAAAATTAATTGGAAACATTTTTCATTAGAATGTTATTGCAGATTATTTAAAGGTTCCTCATTTCTAAAAAAGGGCCCTCATAACATCCTAGCTTGAGTTCAGAAAAGTGGCCATAACTTGATTTCCGTACGGTAAACTTTGTTTAAATTTTGCATACAGGTTTACTTTAAGGTATACATCTGACCTATGATGTCAATTTTTTAGTTCCTGATAGTGCCCATTAGGGTCCTAATACCTTAAGCTGTGAAACGAAATGGTCTAAAGCAGTTCTTTAAATAAAATGTAAACTTTACTTAGTTTTAGTCAAGGTCTCAAGTTTCAAATAAATATCAAGTTAGACCATCTGATAGTGAATGGCAGTTTAAATTATTTGCGGTATCTCCCCTTATCCAGAATCTTCAGATTATCAGTAACAGATACACAATTACAGGTGAAAAATGTTAAACGTTGAAAGTGTTGATTTGAAACACATTCTTATTTATCAAAATCATTAAATCTAACATTTGAAGTGCTCATAAATTAATCATTGATTTTCTTTTAACCAGCTGGTGGCAAGTGAATCTTTCCATGCGAGCAGTGTAGACCAAGATGAGTTGGCACACCTCTGCTGTCTGGTCATAGCCTGCAAATTCTCGCTATTCAGTTAGAACTTGCTTATGTTATTTTTCCCCCTAACATGATGAGTGGTTATGTCCAGAATGAAAAGTAACGGTGTTCTGTTCAGTTTGGACAATCGTTTTTTAGCTGACCAGTACCGACGTAAGCTATTAGTATCAATGGGGGATTCTCCGGCATCCGTCGTCATGCGTCAACAATCATTTTCTCTGAAACTGCTTGGCAGATTTACCTTAAATTTCTTCTGTAGCATCCTTGTGCCAGTCACACTTAAATTTGCTCATGTCATTTCAATTGACCCCTTTTTGGGGTCATCAGGGCTAAAAATAGAAAAACCTTTAAACATCTTCTACTACAGAACCAATTGATGGATGATCACAAAACTTTGTTTGTAGCATTCTTTGGTAGTCCTTTATCAAATTTGCTCATATTAATTTGATTCGCCCATTTTAGGAGACTCTAGAGCTAAAAATAGAAAAAAACCTTTAGACATTTTCTCCTACAGAACTTATGGATGGATGATCACCAAACTCTGTCTGTAGCATTCTTAGGTAGTATTTTATCAAGTTTGTTCATATTAATTTGATATACCTATTTTAGGAGTCTCTATCGCTAGAAAAAGAAAAACCTTCAGAAATCTTCTCCTACATAAGAACTAATGGATGGGTGATCACCAAACTCATTCTTTAGCATTCTTAGGTAGTATTTTATCAAGTTTGTTCATATTAATTTGATTGGCCCCTTTTAGGAGCCGCTAAAGCTAAAAATAGACATACCTTTAAACGTCTGCTCCTACAGAACCAATTGATGGATGATCACCAAACTCTGTCAGTAGCATTCTTAGGTAGTATTTTATCAAGTTTGTTTATATTAATTTGATATACCTATTTTAGGAGTCTCTAGAGCTAGAAAAAGAAAAACCTTCAGACATCTTCTCCTACAGTAGAACTAATGGATGGGTGATCACCAAACTCATTCTTTAGCATTCTTAGGTAGTATTTCATCAAGTTTGTTCATATTAATTTGATTGGCCCCTTTTAGGAGCCGCTAAAGCTAAAAATAGACATACCTTTAAACGTCTGCTCCTACAGAACCAATTGATGGATGATCACCAAACTTTGTCTGTAGCAATCTTGGGTAGTTCTTTATCACGTTTGCTCATATTAATTTAATTGGCCCCTTTTAGGGGTCTCTGGAGCTAAAAATAGAAAAACCTTTAGACATATTCTAATGGATGGATGATCACCAAATTTGTCTGTAGCATTCTTAGGTAGTATTTTATCAAGTTTGCTCATATTAATTTGATTGGCGCATGTTATGGGCTGCTAAAACTTAAAATAGAAATAAATTGATTTGATTGATGGATGATCACCAAGCATTGTCTGAAACATTCTTAGGTTGTATCAAATTTTCTCATATTAATTTGATTTCCACCTCTTAGATAGTATAGTGCTAAAATAGAAATAACTTTAAACGTCTCTTTCTACAGAACTAATTGATGGATGATCACCAAATTTTGTTTGAAGCATTTTCAAGTAGTCTTTCAACAAGTTTGCTCACATTAATTTGATTGGCCCCTTTTAAGCTTAAGCATAAATACCCCAGGTCATGGCATTTCTTCAAGTTATAGTTTAAAGATATTCTATCCTCAAATTTATTATTAGAACATATTGAGGATGGATACACAGTTTCTTTATAAATATAAGATAAACATGTTTTGACTGCACACAAAGTAGATACGTTATGTTTTAAACTCTTCACACTATAGGTGGTCACAGTAAAAATATGTAGTGTCATTTAAAAATAACTTCCTGATTTTTGTTTTGTTTTTTGTTTTGTTTATTTTTAATAGAAAAGACCACTTTACCTGGCCTATAATAGGATATGCAGCTTTCCATACATAGTTTATTCATTCTTTTATTTAAATAAGGCATATTCAGTAAGAATTTCATAGATTTCAATAAATATGTATAATAAGAATAGTTTATTCAACGATGAACATAGTATATTTTTTATAAAGAAAGGGAAACAACTCATGTTGAAATGAGAAATAAAATCAAAGAAAAAAGAAAGTCATATTGACCTTGGCTATCGCCTTGGTCAATATGTCATCTGCCGGTGAATCACATCATATCTTCAATGGCTCACTATTCAAAATTGTATAATATTAAACAGGATTTAAGATAGCATACCCACACAGTGCACAGCTCGAATTCGCTATTCCTCTCACTATCTGTTTACATCAATATTGACAAATAGGGGTGTCGATTATTCTTATATATAAAAGTGTACAATCTTTTACCACCTAATCAATCACTCATTTTTATTGCGTTACGCATAATGGCGTAGTGGTAGAGAGTTCGCTCTATGAGAACATTTAGTTATACACACATTCGCATTCAACAGACAACACAGTCGTAACCCAGGTTCGAATCCTGAAAAGGCATTTCTTTTCTTTATGTTCTCGTTTGTTTATAGTTGTTTTTTACAACGAACTAGATTTAAAATCCCCGATAATTTCATTAAAACAATGCTATTTGAGAACATTTAGTTATACACACATTCGCATTCGACAGACAACACAGTCGTGATTAGGGTAATAGATGAGCAATGGAGGAACATATATACATAAATACAAATGAGACAAAATTGTTAGAAATGTGGCGACTGGAATTCAGAGTTTAAAACAGAATAAAATTGATAATACTGTTTAATTTGTTCAATGACAGTTATAAAAATCAAATACATTCGATTTTGCTTCGCCGTCAAAAGTTTAACTTTAGATTGTGCAAAACATCATGAAAGAGATAAAGAAAAGTTACGTGACACAATTAAAAAATATTCTGAAAGTAAAAACCATACTTAAAAAAAATGTGGAC